GGTTCTAAGCTGACCGTTAGTGAACTGATAAGGTCAATAGAACCTTTGAACAAGCTGAAAGAATTTTACATGGACAGTAGATCCATTCAGTCATCATTTGATAGCCTCGCCAATCAAAATTATGGTATATTTAAATCTGCAAAAATTTATCTAAGCAGGCTGGAAGAATTTGTTATAAACAGTAGATTCATTTGGTCATCATTTTATTCCCTCGTTAATCGAAATGATGATAAATTCCAACCTGCAAAAGCTGATGCGAACAAATGAAATTTGGTGGAGAGTAAGAATGTGGTGCATCTTAGACTCCACACTCTTCATATTGGCATGGGTTTAGCACAAAAAGAACTAATCCAACTTATGTTATGTCAATATTTTGAAGCTTTCGCAGGTATTAAGAAACTGGTGATTGACGTAATACCAAAACGTCCAGAAATAATCCAAAAATTGTTCGGAAGTATGCAAAAGCAGTTCAATAACTTGATAAAAAGCATTTTCGAGACGTTCAAACAACTTGATGTGCTTGTGTTCTGTTATAAGAGTTCTTGCATATCTAGAGAAGAAGCGCATATTCTTCGTAAGCTTTTTTCGTCGATATGTAGATTGCTAAGGGATAGATGCGAGTGGTCAGATAATTGCAATGAGGAACAAACCATTTTCGAGCTTTATAAGTAAAAGTTAAGTTATTTTTCGATCTTCTGGTGCTGGTCATTTCTTTTTTATGATTGTAATGATCTCAGGTCTCATTGTTCATGGTATTCATGTATTCAAGCAATCCATAACATGTTAATTACATGTGCCAACAGCAGAATGAATGATGCTATTGCTCTAAACACAATGGATTGTGTCTCTTGCATATGATCAACGCCATTGCTGCAGAAAATTTGTTGGTTCGTAAAGCGATTTAAAACCGCTTGTGTTGAGATCACTGCTCTGTCATGTTAACAGTAATGAAATATTTACCAAAAGTAAGAGTTGGTATGATGTTGTGATCTATTCGAACATACTACGGACGACATATCTTGCAAGAAAGCGATTTGTGCCGTGTGCTGTGAGATAGTATAGCTGTCATACACCGATAAAAGCGTGACAAGCAGTTTTAGATTTGCTAATTTTATTAATTCACCTTTGTTGTTTTAGAAAATTGTTGCTGTTAATCGGGCAACTGATGAGCTGGGTTAATAAATACGTGTTGGCACATTCATGGATCTGTTTTTGACAAACGGGATAGTACAGTTAGTACGATGATAAAAATAAACAGAAAACTTTTTTTATGCGCAGAAGATTTTCAATGGTTAGCTTAGTTTATAGTGTAGGGTAATTTAAATTTTTTAACCTGGAATTTTATGTTTCTGTACCAAAGATAGATGAGAGCAATTCTTTGCTGTTGGGTGGTCATCGTATAAATGAACCAGCCTACTACTCAGCTATTCTCTTTGTGCATTCATGCTACCAGATACGCAAAATAAACGTGTTTTGCTGGATCGATTTGTTCTTTGCTGTGAAAGCTTTAGTTTATGTCTGCATGTCCTTGTTGCCATATTTTTTGATTGCTATGTATAAGGGCATCAAACATTTCATTATGGTTTAGTGCTGTAGCACATTTTGGTGCTTGTTAACGTTCATATAGGAAAGTGGCATCGTTATGAGATATATAATTGATAAATCTCATTAAATAAGCACAAATTTCCTTGATATAGAATACGAGATGTGTTACTTAAATGTATGGTCTTGTTGTTTATGCGAATAAATTGTTGCTCCATATTTAAATAGCATGGCTTTTATAGAATCATATTCCTATCCAAAAACATTCTAGAACGCATCTGTATCTTATTTATTTAAACCGCACAAGCATAAATTTATCATTACATTTTTCACATCTATCATTTATTCACATCAAACTAACGTTTCCTACGCATGCATACAATCTAAGAATCTTCATCCGATGATATCCACGTTAACTCATTGGCCGTTTCACCACTCACAACCTCTATGTCCCGTAACTTCTTAGAGATAACCTTGCAACACAGCTCAAGCAGTGCAGGATAGTAAAGATAGTTAGCTGCTGTGCATATATCATTCAAAGTCGGGAAATCAAGGCTGTTGATAAAATCAAAAACTGCCTGAGGGAACACTATCTGTGTAGCATCGTAATTCTCCGGTAGATTTATCGTGTTTATTTCAGAGAATCCCATTATAAATTCTAAAACGGAGGAATGCATGAGAATGTTAATTGGTGAGCATTGATCGGTCATATTTACAATGTCCCTGAAAAGGATGCAGTCATTTACCATCTTTTCTGGAATGGTGTACAGTCGCTTGTCTGTAGTCATTACATCAAGTTGCATTGCAGGGGATAAAATAGTATTTTTTACCGATGAGATCGATGTATAAAAACACGATAGACATGTTACGCACTCAACAAGATTCGCTTTGTTTTGTAAATATGCAAAGTCAGTTTTAAAAACATAAATTGTGTAGAACATGTTTTACACCATTCTACTCCCACTTCTACTACTGGTATTTTCCTAAAAGTACGTTTATTTATCACCTCACATAACATTAACCGAGTATTTCTATTATCACTAGCTGCGCTATCCCGTTTTTCAAAAACGGGTGTATGAATGGATAGTAGATCAAAGCAGTTCTTTTGAATGTGACTAAAACATCAGGTCATTCCTTTCTATTAACTGTTGTATAGTTACAAATCAATAAATATACATTCATTTCAGTAGCTCATTATATACAACATTTCTTGTGTATACTTTACCATTCTCATGCTTTCCTTGGTCCCCATTGTCAGCAACATACACTCTTAGACCGTTTGCATAGCGCACTCTCGACAATACGTACAACTGACTATGCACAAAGACTGGGCTGTGCAGATAAACACCTACCTTGTCAAATGACTGGCCCTGTGACTTGTGGATTGTCATCGCAAACGAAAGAAGAACCGGAAACTGTCTTCTCTTGAGTATGAATGGCAGCTGTGTCTTGCTCGGTGCCATGTCGATCTTTGGCGCTGCCCTGCTACCTTTCCTGGATCCGGTTACAATAGTAGCTATGATGAAGTTTGTGTGGAGTTCATCAACCACCAGGCGTGTGCCATTGAGCAGGCCATTGGCTGGATCAAGGTTGCGCAATAGCATTACCAACGCACCTCTTTTTAGAACTAACTTGTGCGGTGGCATTCCTGAAGAAACTCTAGCGGATAGTTCGCAACAACATCATTGTCCTCTGTGACAATAGAGTCTGCACTCGTGTATGTTACTTCGTTGCAGACCATCAAGTCAAGGACCCTGTCATTGATTTCCTTTGCAGCATCGTTGTTTGTTGTGAGTATAGTTCTGTTTGTCAGATCTTCGCTGTCAGCCATGTTGGCAACATCACCATATATCTCGTAAACGATGTCATCGCACATATCGTCAACATAGTCGTTGAACAGCCCAAGTGCATCATACGGTCTGTTGAACACACATCGTTGTCCATGCATGGTGCTGCCGAATTCAAGGCACCGCATGGTCCATGAATCATGTGCCTCAGTACAGTTCGTCTCAAGAATGGCCTGTCATCTGATGGTATTTCAGCCGATACAACGCTGTCTATTTTCCCATGGTATCTATCATATTATTGCTTTTGAGTATGATCAGAGTATGTTATATCGCTTTACTGATCGTAGCTTTATTCCTGGAAATTAATTTAGTTACCAATACTT